GTAGAGCCTTATATGCCATCAGCATCTGGAATTCTTTCATCCTAATTTTCCCCCTCCAGCATATTCTCTCTTTCTATTACAGCTACGGCCTTAGTGGCCTCCTCCTCTTTGCCTTCCTGCGCATCACCCAGAGGAGCCCTAGTTTCTCCATGTTCGCCTATAGGGCCTTCTTCATTTGCTTCCTCTATGGTCTCATATTGAGGCCCAGAAGTTTGGTTCACCTCATCAGCGGAGCTAACAAAGGAGCCTTTTGCTGAAGAAGTCCTATAAGTGGGATCTCCCTCACTATTCAACAGAGTGGCAGATCCCTCGATAGGAGTGGGAGCTTGTTTCGAAGTACCGGCATTATCCTGAAAATTAAGAAATGTTATTCTCAGAATTCTTATTGAAAAAGGAGTTAGTTCAGGAAGTAAGCAGATGTATGTCGAAGTAAATACCTGAAGAGGAACTTCGACACCAGGGCTAGAATTATCGCTCTCATTAGGGTTGTTTAGCTTAGCGGCTACCTCTTGCTTAGTAGGTTCTCTGATAACTACAGGAGGAGGCCTCGTAGCTGTAATCTTAATTTTTGTTTTGGGACGAGGCTCAAGTACAGGAGATGGTTTCTTTAATTTTTGTCTCTTCAGAGGAACATGAGGGGACTCCTCTTCTTCGTCACTAGAGATCTCGATCTCCTGAACCTTCCGTTTCTTGGGGGTAGTTTTCTGAATACCCGGAAAGATAAGTCGAAGAAATCAGCGTCTATACCAGAAGATAGTAAAGGAGAAAGGTATAGCAGAAAGTGAATACCTTTGGCACAGGGTTAACAGAAGGGTCTCCCCCTTTGGTGCTTTCAGCACCCTTCTTTGTGCTGGTCCTCTTGACAGTTATACAAGAAACAAAGATAAATCGAGCGTTGAATGATTAAATCTAAGACAAAGAGGAAAAAGGAAAGAAAATAATACCTTTCATGATCTTGTCAAGGACCATTTTAAACGCCTCGCGAAGGTGGTGGGCGAAATCCTTCTCATCGAAGAACTCCTCATTATAATACTGCCTCCACCACCCTTCAAAATTGCTAGAACACAAAAAATTGAGATTGAAGTCGAACATGGTTAGTACGGTCCGACCAACGTACCTACCATTATGCTTGGTAGCAGCATCCTCTGAGTAATCTGCGTTGTAAAATAATAGCATTTTCTCTCGAGAATAGATGGGTGATGGGAGTGACTGGACAATGCCGAATTATCGAGAAACAATATTTGGTTGGTAAGCAATAAAACTTAATTGATTCTTCGAGCTCTTGAATCTCAGTGGCATGATTCTGGGTCGAAGAAACGACTCCCAGATGCCCACGTATTCGTCCTCCAAGTCCTCCTCACCAGTCGAAGGAAATGGTCTAGTGAACCATTATGGGTCGACTTTTCGACTGGCAAAAGGAGCCATGGTCGAAACAAAGTGTTTGCACTCTGCAAACATCATCACAAAGCTTATGAAGGCCTTTTGAAATTGTTGACCCTCGTCAGTCGGAGCCAGCAAAGCAAATCTGGCACCTTCGACCCTCCTGTTCAAGATTTCTGGGGCCACTTCATTGATCTTATTCTTCTGAGGAAGAAAAGATTCGAAGGTGGCGTTGAGCCAAAGTTGAAGAAGCCAGAAAGAAGCAATCTTGCCCTATCTCCTATTACCTTGAGTTAAGTCACACCATTGCTGATGGACTCATATAGATTGGCCAAAATCAATTCAGCCAGACAGAGGGGGTAGCCATGATGAAGTTGCATTGCGAGCGTGAGCATCTTCTTAGTCACTTGAAGCGACTTGGTGCAGAAGACGAAACGGGATAACCACATAGCCAGAAAAGTTATATGTTCTACCTCCGACACAGTGCTGGAGGATTTAGCATGGAAATGGTTGATGAATGTGGTGTATATGGGCTTTGTAGCTGAAAACCTAATGACATCTTCGGATAGATCCTCTGGGTCAAAATAATCGCCAGTCGGTCGAAGACCGGTGATCGCTGCTATGTCGAAAAGGGTTGGGGTCACCATTCCACAGGGAAGATGAAATGTGAAGTGGGAGCTATCCCAAAAGTATAGCGAAGACACCAACATAAGAGGACAATAAGACAATCCTGTCTTCGACAACATCACCAAATCATAAATCCCCATTTCCTTCCAGACGGAGGTTTGTGCCTTCTCTATCTTATTCAGTCAATCTGAATATTCTGAGGAGAGATTAGGGCACGATCGAAAGATCTTGTTCCCTTTGTTCATGAATTGAAGGTTAATGTCCTCCTTGGTCTGAGCGTGTTGCTGGTTAGCTGGAGTCGCATCCTCAGGATCGTCCCTGGGTTTCTTCACACAGCCTATAGGTTTGAGTCTTGGGTGAGTGGGGAAGAAAGCACGATTCTTCATAGGATTCTCAATGCATGTGGAAAGAGGGCCAGACATAGCGTATATATCTTCAGAGTACCTGATAGGAATGAGAAGTTGGGAATCGTACGCCTCACGCCTTTCTCTAGTCGTGGGTTCAGAAACGAATCGTGGCCCCTCAATCGAAGCAGGAGAAGGGCTTGTAGGGAAGATCTCTGGTTGGCGGTGTACATCAGCGACATTCTTAGGTTTGGGGTTGTTGGGTGCGCTAGAGAGGAAAGCCATTGTTGCAAGTTAGTAAGGAGCGAAGATGACAATGTAAGGTGTTTTCTGCAGAAGAGTTGAAAATGCTAAGTGTTGTGAAAGTTCCAAATGAAGAGGCTCAAGACTATTTATAGTATCCAGAGAGGAGTGTGTCTCGTCAAAGCCATTTAATGCTATGGATGTAGTGGGGCATGTGGCAGACCCTGAAGCGGTTATCGTGCAGGTGATGGGAAAACGTTTGACATGTTTGCCTAGGTTCTAGGAGTAATGGTCATCATGGCAGCGTGGTAACGGCTGATTGAAAAGACGTCTTGGGAAAAGAGTAATGATGATTTTGAGAGTGGCAGTTGTTGGAAGGCGAAAAGCACACGTTAAGCCTTTGTGGACAACAAGGGGGACATGTGTCGAATAGAAAGATCAAAGAATGATTATTTCTTTTGGCGTCGAAATAGACATTCTTGGGGGGCAATTTGTTGGCTCCTGAATTCGACACCTACTATATATTGGCCTTATAGGCCAAAAAATAGAACAAATTAAGCCAAGCTGGAAAATGTTTCGACGGATGAAAAAACTTAGAGAAAATATATGAGTTACACATTGGTCTTCGACCAGGCATCACCATCAAGATTTCGACTGAGAAGGTCCTATGAACTTCGACTAAAAGAACATACCTTTGTGCCAACACCAAAGACGAAGTGTATTTGAATTTGATTTGTTGGAGGGAAAGACGGTTTCGCCAGCAGTTAAAGGAAAGCGACGTGGCTGGAAGATAGAGGTTGAGGGACATGCAGAGGACACTTGTCTTCATCTTAGAGCAAAACCACCCCTCGACGGTTACGTAGTTTTAGTATAAAATAGGAAGTCTGTAGTTTTTCCGGGTGTTCAACCTATTGTGCTAGTTACTCAAATATTGTCCAAGTACCTGCTGTGTGTGAAAGGATAAACTGAGAAATGTACGTTGGAAACACCACTTTTCATAAATAAAATCTTTTTACATTGCTTTGATCTTATTTTTCAAAATTACTTTTCCTGCATCTTTACCTGCATTTCTATTAACTTTCTTACTTTCCAAAACCACAAGCATCTTATCTTTGGTCGAATGTGCGTTCTTCCTAGATATCTATTTTTACATCGAATCAGCATAAAAGTTAACATATGTTCTGGGATCAATCTGATCGATCCCGCGAGTAACCAAAAGGACTTTCCTTTTTGGAGGATCTACGGTTGTTTACCAAAAATCACGGTAAACAAATCTCAAACCCTAATTTTGGTCATCAGTGCTTAAGGAGGTGTCTTGAGCTGATCAATCCTAGTGCAGACTTGAACTAAGAGAGATCCTTGTGAGAAAATATTTGACAAATGAGAGGACAAATTTTGGGGTACAACACAGCGGATAAAGCGCATTAGATGAAAATAAATTACAAGTCAGGAACGTGTATCAGGTAAACTTAAGGTGTCAGATAAAGAATCGAGATATCGAATAAAGATCCATACACCAAATAACATTTCCGACAAATAGGCAAAGCCATGATAGCGGAGAAGTAAACTGAAATCTCATGTGAAATAAGAATCAAGTCCGAGTGGACTAGTAATCTGTATCAAAGCTAAAATGAAACAAATGAAATATGGAAATGGATGCTTAATTAATTAACTTAAAAGTTGATTAAGTTAATTAATTAAATTAAGATAAATTAATTAGCCGAAATTAGTTAATTTTTAATAACAAATTTAAATAACAAAATCGACTTTTAGTTAATTAACTAAAAGCAACAAAGTAACATGAAATGAAAGTTTAATCAATTAATCAAGAGTTGATTAACTTAATTAACCGAGTTAAGAAAAATAGATTAGTAAACTAATCCATTTTTAATAACAAAATTAAATAAGTAAATCAACGCTAGTTTAATCATTTAAACACAGATAAAAGGTGGGAAGAGGAAATGGCTACTTGATCCGTCTTGAGATACTTACACAAATCAACAAACAAGTTAGTAATTACAAGGTATAAAATCGAAATGAAATTTACATGAATACACATGAACGATTTAAGGACCAAGCAATTGATTATTCAAATGATTTTAATTCACAAATGAAACTACAACCAAAGAAACTCAAACTATAATTCAATTCACATTCGAAAGTAAGCTAAAATCAAATGAATCAAATTTCGGGCGACAACTATGTAATCTAAAAAAACGCTCCACAAAGTCCATCTCAAACGCAATTAATGCAAATGGAAACAAAAAAGTAACACCACTCGAGTTAAACTTTCAAATTCAAATCGAATTGTTCATCAAATACCAACCAAATCTCCTTCCAAATTGATTCAAATTAAAAAAGCCATAACTTTAAATCCCACATGAAAAGCAAACCAACAATATCAAAATGCGATCATTAGTTCCAATTGGTTCAAAACATGGCATCGACTTCAAACGAATTCAAAACGAAATAATAATTAAGCATGACATACAAGCTTCAATCGGAACCGATTTGGATGATCAAAAGATTTTAAACTTAATCAAAATCAAGACAAGCGGGAATGGGGTGCATTCTTCAATTCAAATTCGATGCAATGATAAAAACAAACCGGCTACCCCATAGTTTCTCCGTCATATTCTACGCGAATGAATGCATAATAGACATCACCTTCATCAAAACTAACATGAATATCATTTGTCACAAATTCATTCGAAATCAAAACGAGAACAAATTATCACGGTATAGATTTCAATCGAAAATAAAACATGATAACAACTCAACATACACAAACAGAATGGCGTCCGCCATAATAATTTCAGCATAATCCGACACTTAAAGCGACGCTGACTTTAGAATTCATCACAATTTAATAGCAATTTCGATTCAACTGAACAAATTCAAAATCATATTTCAAGCTACTGTCAACAGATTACCAACCTAACAACAAGTCTCTTTCTAAACTTTACTCAGACAAATACAGGTATTAACAACATGCTGTTTTCATTGGATCTTAACAGAAGATCAAAATAAACATCAATTCGCAGCATCACAATTATACACAACTGAAATGAGATCGAAAATTACCGAATCGTGTCGACGTTGAGCTGCAAGTTGTTGTTGTTGAACTGGGAGGGATGGATGTACCGGCGGAAAAATTGTTGTTCGGTGGTGTGATGTGCGGAGGAAGTATGTTGGAATCAGGTCGCAGTTGTTAGCGAGTGCTGAAGTATGAGCGGAAAAATTGCAGGAGATAGTTGTTTGAGATGAGAAACGGATCTGGTTTGTGAGATAGCAGGCTGTTGCGGTTTGGCAGGCAATAGATGATGGTGTTGAGCGGTTGATAAGGGAATCAGCGGAGGTTGCTGTTGGAAACGAGAGGAGGACGTTCGGCGTTGGTGATGATGATATTGAATGGAGTGTGGCGGAGATATACAGAGGTTGCGGTGTTCAATGAAGTTGAATAGCGGTTAGATGAAGGTGATATGGAAGAGAGAACGGAAGTGAATCGGCGATGGATGAGATAGAGATCGGCGAAGGGAGTGTTTCGAAGGTTGATGATGATGGATTCTGAGATGATTAATCGGTGGAGAATGGAATAAGCTTGGAGGTATGGTGCGGAAGTAACAGGTTGTTGTTGGTGTTGCTTCGGTGCAGATGAGAGATCACGGAAGGAGTGTGTGAAATGGTATGATGTTTAGAAGTTGGGGTTGATGAAGAAATGGACGGTGGAAGTTACAGAGAAATGGTGGTAATATGGAGAAGTAGGGAGATTCAATTTGCAAATGGGTTTTCTCTCATTATTTTCATTGAACTACGCTGCCTCCTCCGTTATCACAACAACATTACCTTCTATAACCAAATCAATTACATTTAGCTAATTTATTAAATGTCTAAAATGAGAAAAAAAAATTTAAATAATTATATTTTTCAAAAAAAAAATTTCTCAAATTTCAAAAAATTTATCAAACTAACCATTTTTCAAACAAAAAAAAAATCATCATATAGAGGAGTAGTCACCATGTGTGGCGCATGCATGTTATTTAGAGAAGAGGCGTCACACTGCATGACTTGTTCTACTCTGTAAAATCATGCAGTATGGCGCATGCATGTAATGGCAGAGAGGAGGCGCTATCTGTTGTGGCTTGACAGTGTTATATGATTTTCTATAAATGCAATCACTCATCCTCTTCATTTTTTCACACCATTTATCACATAACTCTTAGAAAATATCTTCAACTCTCTTGCCAAGGTTTTCACTGATCAAAAGACATGTGCGTGTTATTTTTTCCTTGACAAAGCCTCCAGTGAAGATCAAACTCTGGAACACGCAGACGTTCGAGCATTTTCCGAGACACTTGATTCGCTGGTTGGAAGGAGACATTCCTGAAGGTGAACAGATCGGAAAAATAGAAAGGCAAATTACAGTGAGGAACGAAATGGAGTAAGACGATTATGGAAAAAGGTAAGATGTGACGCTGATGTCATGATGTTGATGCTTGGACCAGACGATATTGTGTTGATGGTTTTCATCTCTTAGATATTATGATTTGTTTAGTTGTTTTGTCTATTTATCATGTTGTGTTGTTGTCCTGAGTTTGTGGTGTTGTAATTTTTGGGTCATTATATGAAGGTTGTTGTAATCGAATAATAAATTGAACACGAAATGATAACCCGAATTTGAATTGAAATATATTGCGTACAACAAATTAATTCAGAAAGTTTGCTATAAAAAAAGTTAGGTTGCAGAGCTAGACCCAATATTCGGACAATTTTTTTGATTGTGTTCGGGAAGATGATATGTACTGCATAATCTTATCATTTTGTTGGCCGTATCCATTTCAGTTCTAATACGAGTGGTTTTCGGGCGCCCCTTTTTCTTCTGTCGTATTTGTTCATTGTGCCAAACAATGTCCCCTTGATAAGCAGGCCAATAATCCTCCTTTGCAAACACGAAGAAGGTATTGATGTACACACTTAAAATGCTCTTTACTGTGTACACGGAGAATATATATGTTGTATCGGGTCCAAGAGAACATGCAAACATGCCACTATGACATTAGAGCAAGGCATGCGAAATGCTTGAAACTTTCTGCAATCACACCAATCTCTATCTAGTTCACCCGATAATATCCCCTTGGCCTCCCCTCATTATGATCTATTGTCTCTTGTACACTGAACCAACCTTTAATACGGTCAAACATGGTGATAATATGGGTATTTTCTTTCGCAGCCTCCTCGTTAAATGTTTTCATTGTGCATTCACTGAACAACTGCTCTGATTTTAACACTGCCCTCCATTTTGAACTTCTTGTGTCAAACAATGACCCCATCCTAAAATATGTTGCTCTAACCAAAGCATTAATTGGTAGGTTTCGTATGCCTTTGAAGACAGAGTTTAATGATTCCACCAAATTTGTTATCATGTGGCCCAATTGTTTACCATTGTCAAATGCACGAATCCACTTCTCCACTGGAATATTATCGATCCACCTTAATGCTTCTGAGTTTGTCAGCCGCATTTCTTTGCGATAGTGTTGGAATGATGGTCCTGTTAAGGCATACCCTGCATTAACAACTTTCTTTAAAAGTGTCTTGTATTTGATATGGAGCATGAAGTTTTGTGTGATATGTCTAATGCAATAGATATGTGTTGAAGGGGGATCCTGCCAACCGTTATCAGGGTTATTGTATGCACTCACAATCGATGAATGTCTGTCTGAAATCAAATAAAGGTTAGGTTGAGGAGCAACGTGTAATCGGAGTTTCTTCAGAAATAAATTTCACACACCACTTGTCTCATCTTCAACTAGAGAAAAGGCATTAGGAAAAACATTATTTTTCCCATCTTGCGCCACTGCCATGAGTAATGTTCCTTTATGCTTTCCGTATAACCAAGTTCCATCAATCTGTATAATAGTTTTGCAAAATGCAAAACCCTTGATGCATGGTTCAAACACCCAAAACAATCAATGAAATATTCCATTTCCACTTACACGAGTTCTGTCTGGGGTAAATGTTGGGAGTGTCTCCAAAATTATAACAGTTCCTGGAACATAATATTTAAGTGCCACCAAAAATCTTAGAAGTTCTTTGTACGATTCCTCCCAATTATCGTACACAAGTTTAACTGTCTTAGTCCTCCTGATCCATGCCTTCCTGTAAGAGAGGGTATAATTGAATCTTGTAGCGATGTGAGAAATAATTGTACTCACCTTTAATGATGGATCCTTGCTAATAAGAGGCAAGATTTCTTAACATATTAGTTGAGAACTAATATTAGATTCGTGTCTTTCTTGACATATTAGAAATGGGGACTTGTAAAGAATTTGGTAAACTGGACCACACTATAATTTGGCTTCTAGTCTATCTTTGAAGCGTGCAAAACTTGATTTCTTGTTTGTCCAAAAGCGGATAAAATCGGTATTACTGAAATTAAAATCGAAGTTATCGCATTTGAACGTCTCACCGTTAATATGGGCAAAAATAGTATAATTTTGTGAAGGATCCATGTTGTTGAGGTATGTTTTTTATGAGTTATGAATGTATACTAGTAATGCGCCCTACACAGACGATTAAATAGACTGATGAAAGTATGGGATGTCCTCTATATTTTACATGCATGTGCCACCTAGGGTAACTTGTCCTCTTCTTTTTGCATGCATGTGCCACCTAGGGTGGCTTGTCATTGAACAACAAACTTTCATGCATTTCGTCTGATCCCTGCCACACTGCAGGTTTGCATGCATGCAAAAAGTAACAAGCCATGTTGAATGACGCCTATGTGTATTAAACAAGAGCATGCGCCACCTAGTATGGTGCCTATATGTATAAAACAAGAGCATGCGCCACCTAGGGTGGCGCCTATGTGTATCTTGAATGCAAAGTAGTGTCACGTGAATGCATAATGTTCATCAATATTTTCTTATAAATACATATAACATTCACCCTATATGTTCATCACAATCATAACTCACACACTATTTCTTTCTTGAAACATCAACAAGAGCACAAGAGTAATTAAGAAATAATGTCTCTCTTGACCATGGCTGATCAACATAGAGGAACTCTCAACAATATTGAAACCTTTGTAAGTGTATTTTCCTCAATACCTATTTTTTGTCGACAAATTTTATTTTCGTAATTCTTATGATTGTTATACGTAAATCTTATATTTCTTATACGTAATTCATGTTTTTAATAGGATGTTAAAAGATTTGAGAGACTTCGCTAAAAATCAATGTCGTCAATGGAGGCATCGACGTGAATTAGTCCTAAGGGAGCCGATATTGCAAGATGACTTAAAACCGACTCTCCAATATTTGAGATGGTACACATCAGTTTCAACAAAGTTGTTTCTGTCTCAAGAGACATATTTGATCGATCCACGCCAAGGAGATGTAACATGCGCCCAACAATAACCCCAACAACCAACCCCTCAGCAATACCAAACCCAACGACCAACCCCTCAACAATACAAAACTCAACCACAATGTCAACCCACTCAAACCCAACAACCATACACCACCACATTCAACCAAACTCGTCATTAATTCATGTCACACACACAAACACAATACCAAGAGCATGACCCGACCCACCACCAACAATATACACCATCCTCATCCTACCACAACACTCAAGAAACATATGATACATATCCTTCCTACCATACCACCTATCCTACATACAGTCAAGACATCACACTATCAAAGTACCTAACCATCATACAAATTTCATATACCACAAGAATCGTTGCTTCATTTCCATCACGATTCAACATCATAATACTATCAATCACCCCAACCACACATATCCCAACAAACAAGACCAAACTTCAACAACATGGGCACTGATCTCTTTGGAAGCACAGCACAGTGGGGTGAAATAATCGATGTGATGTATGATCCTGATGTACCAGGACCATTACATCAAGCACCTCATAATCAAGCGAGTCAGAACAGACCCCAAACACCTCAAACAAATCAACAGAGAGGAGTGAGACAATGGGTGAGGCAAAGGCGGGGCCGTTTATGTCATACTGGGATCCGCTTAGGTTGAGGGGACGTCCAAAAAAAATGTATCCATGCGTTGTGTAATATAAAATATTTTTAGTTACTTTTATTTTTATTTTAAAAAAGTTAATAAATATAACTGTCAAGCTACAGTAGATGGCACCTCCTCTCTGTCATTACATGCATGCGCCACACTGCATGACTTTATAAAGGAGGACAAGTCATGCAGTGTGGCGCCTCCTCTCTAAATAGCATGCATGCGCCACACAGAGTGGCTACTCCTCTGTGTGGCTAATTTTTTTTGTCTGAAAAGTGGTTAGTTTGGTAATTTTTTTGAAAATGTGGTTATTTGGGAAACTTTTTTGAAAAATGTGGTTATTTGAAAAAAATCCTAAAATGATCCTTGATGATAAAAATGATATAAACAACGAAACGATTAAAA